TCCTACCCACACCGCCGCCAACTGTGCCGCAACCGGTCAATGTCGTCGCCACTAGACGCTGCCCTGGTACGTCCAACTCTCCCCTATATACACCTTGTGTTCTAGGTGTTTGACGAAATGTCTGAGCCGGTTTTTTATTCTTTTGGTCTCTACTTGTAGGTCACTGATGGATTTGTCGTGGAATGATGGCTACGGGAACCCCGATTTTGACGAATTCATATTCTGTACAATTTTTTTATGTATTTGTTTGAAACTGAAATGTTTGAATTTAAAAAAACATTCATTTCGGCCTCCATGGAGGCCGAGTTCCAAAACACCCCACTCATCCCTACTAACATATTATCTCAACATGTAACTATGTCACTTCATCGTGCAAATATATACCGAAAATGATCTGCCTCAACATGCAACATGATGTAAAAAAGGCTGAAATGTCTTAATTATCTTGTGCTACTTACGTTTACTAAATATTTTACAATTAGACGCTACTTTAAGTTGTAGTTCTTACATTATTAATCTAAATACTCATTCATATAATCAAATTTTACCAAAATACACTGTAAATAATCTGCATAGCAACTCGCGAGATATCATCTAACTCTAAATGCCGACTATCCTCAACTTTGTCCTTACACTTAGTTTGTCAAGGTGCATACATATTTTTTGTGATGCTTGTATCTGTAGCATTTAGAAGATGCAGTTAATCTATTACTTGATTTAACCACAAAGAAGTGCAAATGACATGTGGGGTACATTAGTTTACGTGCTCATACGTCTCAAATGTATCTATAATTTTTATCGTTTTATGTTATTATCATACCATGTTTACATATTTTTGTAACAAATTTATATTATTTTCATGGACTAACCTATTAATTCAGTGCACAGAGCTTGTTGTTGTTACTACATGTTTTTGGTTTACAGAAAATCGATATCTCTAGACCTTAAAATACCCTCGGGATTTTTGATGATTTTTTTGGAGGACGAAGCTTTCAGAAAGCACTGGAAGGAGCCAGGAGCCACTAGACAGCCAAGCCTCCGACACGCCTTTCACCCATATTTTTCCTATAAATCTTATTACTCTCAAAACACTTTGTACCATTTTTCGTGATTTTTCCCCGCTGCCACAAGTTCCTCTTCCAAGGAAATCCAATCTGGGGGTCTGTTCTGACGAGCTGCCAGAGGGGCATCCGTCACCGGAGCCATCCTCCTCAACCTTGCTATCACCATGACCATGTGTGAGTAGTTTTATTAGGACCTTGGGTTCATAGCAGTAGTTAGATGGCATCCTCTCTCCCTTGTGATTTGATACAAAGTTTCTATCAGCTGCCTCACACAATTGGATCCCTATGATGTAGTCAGTGTTGTGTTTGTTGGGATGTGATGAATTGGCACTTTATGATCGGATTTGTTCATGAATTATATTGAATTTCTTATGGTTTCTTTGCTGCATAATTAAGTAGTCGTATATGCTTTTGGGTCTATTTGTCTTCTTCGACCAAGTTTGATGCGCAGATCTTCGGAGGGGGTTGTGTATGGCAGTGAGTTCAATCTTGCGGTGTTCTATATCCCAGTGACAATAAGGGACAAGACATGTATTGTATTGTTGCTACTAAGGATAAAATGATGGTTTCTTTATCATAGTCGGATGATAGTTTTAATTATTGTCTATATTATGTCATCATGCTTATTGTAATGCTTTGTTTGTACAAACTTAATATCTCGAGATGCATGCTTGATAGCGGTCTTTGAGTGGAGTATCAGTTGTATATGCATTTGGATTAATGGTCTATATATCACGGCCTTAATGCCTATACAAGATTGTGTCATGAATGCTCGTAGTGGTAAATATAAATATTACAATTTAATCAATGTCAAACTGTATTTTGTTCACCACAACACATTTATCCTACTTTGAGAGACGCCTCTATTGAATCTATGGCCCCGGGTCTTTTTTTCCTTAATTTCAATCATGATTATCATTTTATTTTCTTGTTGTATCCTTTTATTTATTTTATCTATTTATCAATTCCTATCATACCATATAATTTACCCTTGTAGCTAGCAAGATAAGAAGATTGACAAAACATTCTTGAATCATTAGGGACAAGTTTGTTTTGTGTGTTGTGTGTAGGTACCAACCATTAGTTTTTGCAGAGATAATCCTACTGATTCGGTAAACCTTGGTTCTCAATCAGTGAAATAATTATTGCTAGGTCACGTCACTCTTATACTTGGGGGTCACCAACAACTCATACAGGAGACCAAGCAAGATTTGTGAAGGCATTGCCGTTACCACTTTGATTTCTTGTTATCTATCTTTGTTAGTTATATTTTATATATCGTTTGTTTGCTTTGATGCTATTCACAAAAAACTCAAAATACCAAAAATATTTCAATATTATCCTCCTTTTACCTTGTTATAACAATAACATCATGGATATGGGATCTACAATTTCTAAAGTTTTCGAACATGCTAATAATAAATAGATTATAGAGGAAGGGTTATTGGAATAAACATCCACGAGCGCTTCGGCCCCACAACCAGCAACGAAGAGGAGGAGCAACAGCTCGCGGTCGTTGCTCATTGCTCTGAGGAGGAGAACGACGACTTTGCCTACATCGATGGGTTGTCAGGCGAGGAGGATGAGGAGGACAATTTTTTTTGACGGTGCTACGGCGGGCTTACGCCAGCCTGAACCATTTTCATTATAGATAAGACTGAGATACAACACGACAGTTACAACAGATATCACCCGACACACAGGAGAAGGAACCAGGAACAACAGAATACAAGATGGAACAAGGAACAACAGAAAAAGAACCAGAAGCGAGTTATGACAAGCAGCCAACACCAAGAACTTAGCATCCATCACCATCAGTGGACCGAGAAGAGCGGGAACTAGCTTTGTTGGATCCGTCGAAAGGACATCCGCCACCGAGAAGACGTAGAGAAGAAGTTGCCTGCTACCATGCGATCTCTGCACCTTGAAGAGCTAGGAGATCGTAGCCACCATCGAAGAGCATCCTGCTGCCTAGGAACGTCGCGGCAGAGAAAGCCACAGACCGTGCCGAAGGGCAATTTTCCGCCGAGATAGCCCTACACCTCCTCTGAGCCACACCACGGCCACCATCACAAATAGAGAGAACCATAGCACTCCGCAGGCCACCAACCCTCAAAAGCCATCGAAGGGTGCCGAAAACCGTGACCTCACCGCTGCCATGAGCCCCAAAAAGAGAGGTCAACCATCAGCATAGGATGACCAAGGTACTGGTCGCCATCATAGAGCACCTCACCGCCACCGCCCTACAAACCAGCAACCTGAACCAACACTCCAGCCCAGACATCAGACAACCAACCGCGGATCCCTGGTTCCTGAAACGACGCCCCCAAGGGGGAAACAACATGGAAGATGTCGTCGTCATCCGATCCAGAGAAGGATCTGAGGCTTTCACCCGAAACACAGAGAAATAGCCGGCAACGGTAGCTCCCCAATGATGCCTTCACGAAGGGACACGGCGCCAGGAGACGTCGTCATCATCGTTGCCGACGAGGTCGGCAATAGGCTTTCGCCCGAAGCATCCCAGCCCGGCCGACGCCGCAAACGCCGGCCACCGAGTCCGGCAGCGCTAGACCTTCCCCTCTCCTGCCAGTCCACGGCGAGCGTCCCCGCTTGGTCCAGCAAGAGTCATCCGCAAACACAGCCGCTCACCTCGAGCACCTGCACAGACAGAGTTGGTTCTGTCTCGGCTGCCACCTGCGCCCAACCCCTCACCGCCGGCCACAACACCACACCACCACACGCCTACCCCGCCGACAGCAGCCACCACCGACCCCCCAGCCGCAACCATGGAGAGCACCAGCCGTGCGAGCCACCGCCCCAGAAGGATCCAGATCTGGGCGAAGAGAGGCACCCAGACCAGGCATGGCAGTCACCAGGCACCGCCATGGCCTGCTCACCACGCTGCGCTGACCACCACACCCGCCTACGCCACCAGCCCCCAGTCGCGGCCGCAGGGACCGCCGGCCAAGGGAACGGGCCGCTGTCCGAAGGGAGCGGGATCTGGAGCTCCCCTGGGCAGAGCGGCGTCGGATCCTTGGAGACCCAGCTGCCCACGCCTCCGCGCCGCTCGCGCCAGCGCACTGCGCCACCATTGCCGGTGCGCGCCCCCGACCGCCCGCGAGTCCCCGTCGCCGGCCAGCGTCCCGCGCCGCCACGCCTGGAGAAGAGGAGGGAGAGCCGTCCCCACCGGCGCCAGCGCCGAGGGCTTTGCCCAGGGACGCCCTCCGGCGGCGGCGGGAGGAGGAGGGGGGAGGCGAGGGTGGCTGTCGGCGGCGGCGGGAGGAGGAGGGGGGAGGCGAGGGTGGCTGTCGGCGGCGGCTGGGGTTTCTCCCGAGCCGCCCGTGAGAGCGACACGGGAGGCGAGATCTCTCAGACTACGTTTGTCTGTGTACCGATGAGGAGGACAATGACTAGGCGGCGGTGGAAACGGCGTAGTGAAGGTAGTAGTAGTTTGCAATGTCGATTAGGGGCATTGTATATTTTGAAAATGCCGCTTAACGATATTTCAAGTTGTAAAAATATATGTAATAATACGACTTTTGGCCACTAACATATAGTAGTTGCTAATTATGTCTATCGCATTTGGTGACAATTATGAGCTGTTTGGCTGCAAAAGAAAATTGCTACTTGAATTGAAACTAAAATCAGGAGAGCAGATAAAAAAAATGCCGTTTGGTGATTTTGTATTTGCGCACAAGCCGACAGCCTTCAAATTCAGATTATTATGAAATGCAGTCCATATTTCCAACACACCATTTATTCACGATTCAAATTATGGCAACTCTTCTAGAGCTGCTCTTATATTTCCAACACACCATTTATTCACCTGAGGCGTGTCTAGGAGCACATATCCATGGCACGCCTCCACGCTAATGACACAATCACGAACCAACATATTCACACGCGACACACGTACACACACATGCAATGGACACATCACTTGGCGCTGAACCCAGAGAAGAAGCGGTTGATGGCGGGGAAGACCTCCGGGCGGTGCGCGCTGACGAAGCGGCGGAAGGCGTGCTGGCTGTACCTCTCGCCCTCCTCCTCGTTCTCCGGCACCGCGCTCTGCCGGTTGCTCTTGCTCACCCTGAACAAAGCAAGAGAGCAAAACGGTTAACCACATGCATGCATCGAAATTCGAAATGATCCGATCGATCGATCGGGGCGGCTTGGAGGCCTCACCTGACGTCCGGGTTGAGGAAGACGTTCCGGGTGAGCTGGAAGACGCACATCCCCGTCACCAGCGACATGGCGCCGATCAGCGGGTAAACCTACACCACCACCAGGATCGTTAAGGCAAGATACAAAAATAACTCTGAAGTAATCGAACGGTCTTGCACGTACATCTGGCTTCAACCAACGGCCCATGTCGTCGTCGCCTGGCCTAGCGTTGCGCTCTGCGATGATCTAAACTCTGATGAAAGACGCTGCTGCTATCTTCTTTTCCCTCGTGTTCTTCTTCCCGGCCAATGGTTTGCCCGTTGTTTGTATGCAGAGATATATATACATACATACATACATGCCGTGCGTACGTGGGGCGGCGTCCAGCGAGGAGAGGGGGCTGCGACGACGCCTCGGACGACCGATTTCTGTGGGCGAGCGCGGGATCTATCGAGAAACCATGAGCGGCCTGCGGTTTTTGGAGCTCGTTCGTCAAAGGTTGAACAGTTCCCGTGTCAGGTCAGCCCGCCCGCCTCTCTCCCGCGGCCGATGCCAGGCCGGGTCAACGTTGCCGCACTGCCCATGCGTCGTCATCGTATCTCTTTCGTTTCGGTCGATGGGCACGTACGTACGTGCGTAGCATTTCCATAGTCAAAACTGGCGTCTTCATCGCATTCGGTGGAGACGAGGATACAGATAGATACGCCTGGATCTCTGAAACCATGGGAGCAAATCTGGTTTTGAACATTAATGATACATTGATACGGCATTACGGCGTGGCGTGAAATTTACGTTGACTAGTAATAATGTATGTGCAATGCACGTTTATATTAGGTAAGATATATCTGTTGCACGATGGTATTTGGTAAGATATCAATTATTTTTACATGGAAATAGTAGGATATTAATTACATGCCAGATTTCAAGGGATAGCATTGAGTCAAAACATGTTTATAACCAATGCCAGTGGTGGGTAATTAGAGCGTTAAACGTGTTTGGTGCTCAACATTGGAGCGATTTGAACCGTTAGATAACATGATTTGATGGTCGAGATGGTTTGGATCTGCCCATTTGAATCTTTTTATATTGGTATAGATGCAACCAAAAAAAAGGCCAGGAGGTGGAAACCCAATTTCTCTCTATTTTCGGACCCAGTTTCCCCCCAATCCAGAAGGTGGTGGAAACCACTCCACCACCTGTCTAGACATATAAGGACCCTTGGTGCCTTGGCCAACCCGACGTCCATTAAGAAGCTATCCACGAAGACGTGCTGGAGAAAGAGCTTTGAAAAACATTCTCACGAATAGCTTTCCTTTGGGCGTGTTAGATTGCCCACATGGTTATGACCGTTCGAGTAAATTCTTCACGTGTCATGGAGTCCATCAAGGAGAAGAGCCGTCGGTTTTGAAGAATTGCAATGTAGGTCAACGATCAATTCACCCCTAGTGCCCACACATATCTCGGCATCGCACAACTGATTAGCGAGTGCCCCATGAATCTCCCGCGCCACATAATTCGCGGGTCTTTATCAAAAAACATAATTCATGGGTAATACTTTTGGCCATGTGTCTTTAGCTAGAACATCTCGTGTTACAAGTGAATATTGTGCAAGCCTCCACAGAAACACCTTCGGCTTCGAAGGTACACACATTTTTATAATTTCTCCAGTGGCCCACATCGCTGGTCGACGAGCTTAGCCTCCCCTCTAGCCGTTCCTCCCACCGTTGCTTTGTTTTCGCAAGCATCTGGTAAGCCGAACGACCGGTGAAGATTACAATCTTTTCAAAATGCCATGCCCAGAAATCTTCATATAGCGGGGCGCTAATTGGGATCCCCTTATAATGCCCACGTCCATCAACAAAGAGTATTGTCGAAGTCAGGAGCTCCTATTCGGTGCTAGGCAGCAAGGAAGCTCCCCGGCGCACACACACCAACGCTAGTGGGCCGATCCATGTAGATTGCACATTTATTTCCCCCGGTTCGCTAAATTGCATTTAAAAAACAAAAACAAAATGATAAAATTCGCAAAAAATTCATGAATCCAAATAAGTTCACGTATTTTGAAAATATTCATGAAATTAAAAAATGATTTGAAAAAAATCATCAAATTGGTAAAAAAGTTAATGGATTTGAAACAAACATCAAATGTGAAAATTTTCATCATTACAAAAATATCATTGAATTTGAAAATAGTTCACCAATTTTGAAAGGTTCATCGATTTAAAAAAAATCAAATTTGGAAAATTTCATCATTACGAAAAAGATCATTGAACTTGAAAATAGTTCACCAATTTTGAAAAGTTCAACGATTGGAAAAAAGGTCATCAAATTATTTAAAATGTTCATAAAAATTGGAAAATTTCCACCAATGTGAAAAAAGTTCATCAAATTTGTTTTTTACATTTTGAGGAAAAATTAAAGAAAAAAGGAAAAAACATGAAAAATGTAACAAAAAAAGAAAGACAAAAAACCGGTCCAAAAAAAACCCACAACAAAAGAAGAAGAAAAACGGCTGGAGAAACTATACAAAACAATAAAAGGAAATATATTATCATGACGTGTCATTTGCTGGGTTGGTTAGTAAACATACGTTGGAGGTCGCCAGTTCGAATCCCAGCCACGCATGTTTTTAGCATATTAAACCAGAAAAAAAAGTGGAATGGGCCGTCCTAACAAGGGGTAGGGGTGTGCGCCGGTTTGTCAAATGATCTACAACCGCTAAATAGGAAACGCCGTCGAAGTCTCCCTCCATTCCAATGTGCCGACTAAGACATGTCAATAAAATTAGGTAGCCTTTACAAGATTATGGGCCTCTATATTAGGGGAGAAAAAAAATCTACTTATAGACGCAACACTTTTATATAATGAGTACAGTGTACCCGGCCCAAACAGCGAGATTCCATTGGACCCAAAATACGGAGGAGCCTCGCAAGTTCGTGACACACACCGGACGAGAAAAAACGGTGCCGGGCCGCCGCCCCTAAAATATCTCCGGGCCTCGCAAGGCGAGCTGCGGGAGCACGCAGACGAATGGGCCTCTGACAGCGGACCCCACCCGACGGGAACACGTAAACCACAAGATCCAGCCACGGCTAAAAAACTCCACCTCCCCCACGTTTCGACGGAGCTCCCTTCCATCTCTCCCCCACCCCTTTCTTCTTCCTCCCCACGCCAGCCGCCGCCCGGGACCTAGGGTTTCCTCGCCGCCGCCGCCCCCGCCGCCGAATCGCCGCAGGAGGAGGAGATGGGCACGCCGGAGACCTCGCGGGAGCCGTGCCCGGACCGCATCCTGGACGACGTGGGCGGCGCGTTCGGGATGGGGGCGGTGGGCGGCTCCGTCTTCCATTTCCTCAAGGGCACCTACAACTCGCCCAACGGCGAGCGCCTGCTCGGCGGGGCCCAGCAGGTGCGCCTCAACGCGCCGCGCGTCGGCGGGAGCTTCGCCGTCTGGGGCGGCCTCTTCTCCGCCTTCGACTGCACCATGGTCTTCGTGCGCCAGAAGGAGGACCCCTGGAACTCCATCATCGCCGGCGCCGCCACGGGCGGCTTCCTCTCCATGCGCCAGGGCCCCGGCGCCGCCGGCCGCTCCGCGCTCATGGGCGGCTGCCTCCTCGCGCTCATCGAGGGCGCCGGCCTCATGCTCAACCGCGTCCTCGCCGCGCCGCAGAACCTCCCGCCGCTCCCCACCGACGATCCCAACCTGGCCGCCGCGATGGCGGGGGGAGGCGTCGGCGGCTTCCCAGGCATGCCCCAGCCACTCGTGCCCCCCGTGGAGGTCGGGAGCTCCAGCGGCGGGGGTAGTTGGTTCGGCGGCCTCTTCGGCAAGAAGGAGGAGGAGAAGAAGCCCAGCGGCGGCGGCGGCAAGTCGGAGATATTAGAGAGCTTTGACACGCCCAGCACTCCGATACCATCGTTCGACTACAAGTGAGAAAAAAAGGTGCGGTTTTTCTCTCCGATCTGTATTTTGGATTCAGTTTCAGATGTTTTCTCAGTTCGATCCGGTTTCTCTCTTAGCTTATTTATTACTTGGTGTTGAGGCCGTCCGCGGTTAGGAGTCCATGTCGTGTACATCAAGAAGCCTTATTACCTCCTTATATATCAGGAACGATCGACCGTGTTATATATACTCTCGTTCTGAACCCCGGGAAGATTTTAGTTCACCACAACGCATCGAATCTTCAGATAGGGTTACGCAGCTAATACTATGTCGGCTCCTGTCTCCGAGAGAGATCTCTTCGAGAGAGAACCGTGCCCAGGCCGCATCATTGATGATGCAGGCAGTGCTTTCGCCATGGGTGCTGTCGGTGGTTCTGTCTATCACTTTCTCAAGGGCCTTCGTAACTCGCCCAATGGTGCGCGAATTACTGGCGGCATGCAGGCCGCTCGCATGAACGCCCCTCAACTCGGGGGGAGCTTTGCTGTGTGGGGCACCCTATTTTCCACCTTCCACTGCACCTCGGCCTACGTGCGCCGGAAGGAGGACCCCTGGAACTCCATCATAGGTGGCGCCGCCACTGGAGGGGTTCTCTCCATGCGGCAGGGCATCAAAGCTTCTGGCCGCTCGGCACTCGCGGGCGGCTTTTTCCTCGCCCTCATAGAGGGCGCCGGCCTCATGGCCAACCGATTCGCACCGCAGATGCTCCCGCCGCTCCCTGCTGATGATCCCAACATGGCCGCCGCTATCTCGACGGGAGGAGGTGGCTTCCCAGGCCTGCCTCAGCCTGTCGTGTCCCCTGCAGAGGTCCCGAGCTCAAGCAGTGGGGGTAGCTGGTTTGGCGGCCTCTTTGGCAAGAAGGAGGAGAAGAAGCCCAGCGGCAGTACTGGCATGTCGGAGATATTAGAGAGCTTCGAGACGCCCAGCCCTCCGATACCATCGTTTGAGTACAAGTGAAGGAAGGTGCGGTGTTTGTTTGACTGCTCTGATCTGTATTTTGGATTTAATTCAGAAAGGGTGTTGTTTTTAAGTTCGATCCACTCCTTGTTTCTGATACTTTACCCGACGAGGTGGCAATGATTTATTGAGGTGTCTGTTCTAAATGATTCTGCCGCTGAGTTTTTCTTGCTAATGCAACATGCCACTTTATTTACTTGTCCATGCCGTATAATCAAGAAGCTTTATTAGCTTCCAATTACAGAATTCAATGACAGAACATGATTGATTGTCGTATATAGCTGCTGTGGTTTTATTTCATCACTCTGAGCTCCGAGGAAGCTTTTGTGGTTAATTATATTCCGCTGAGTTCTACCTCCTACTTCCACCACAAAGCACTAAATCTTCAGGTAGGGTCACACGACAGATACTATGTGTACCTTTCACCATGGGTTGTGTGACCCTACCTGAAGATAATTAACGGACCCATTCCCAGACCATATTTTTGATGATGCAGCGCCATGGGTTGTGGGAGGTTCTGCCTTCCATTTTCTCAAGGCTGCATGTCCTCTAGACTGTAAAATAGCTTTATGTGATCTACGAGTAGTTCAGTTCAGTACGTAGGTTTGTGGACTTTCAATGTTGGTTTATTAGTGGTGAGTTGTTCTATGGCTGTTCGTTTATAAGCTGGTTGTTCTTCTGGCCAATGAAACATCTCAAAATAAAGCATTTGCATGTATCAAAATTATTTTAGAGCTTGTTATGTTCTGTATGGACATGAGAATAAATCTGTCAAGAATATTAGGCCTGGTTTGCTTTTATCATGTTGTCCTACTCCATTTGAGAACTCATAAATCTGTGTTTCGTTGTGATAGGGAACATGGTAAATATTCCTTTTTTATCTAGTCCTGGTTATGGATGGGCTGCATTGGCCATTTACTTGGACTGAATTATTTCTTCTGACAGACAGAAGAAAAAAATGTTCTATCTGGCTTACAAAATTGACATTCCTGTTGACGTGAATGCAGTTTTCTTAACCAATATCTTGCTACGTGCTTACCTTTTTATATGATGTTAGGGACTGATTGTGCCTCTTAGCATCTGAAATCATGTCCCGAACATGCCCCTCGACTGCCTAGCCTAACTTGTTATTTGTTAATAAGATATATAAATTCCATATTGTACTTACTGGGTCAATAAAATCTTATGCAAGTAGCAGATACGGCTCCCATGGATTTGAAGATATAAAGTAGATTTTGGTTTCAAGCTGTTTCGATGCAAATATGGAAGTACTACACATGATTTTAGCTTATTTTTTCCCGGTTATCAGGGATCGGTTATTTCAGTGCAGTGTTTTCACAATTCTTTATCCATGGTCCTTGTTCTTCAACTGTACATTTAGGATGCCACCTTGGAACTTAAAAAGAAACAAGCTGCTGTAAGGTCAAGTGCCCCAGGAATGCCTGAGTCATGCACCTCTGTATGCTCATGTGTCTATATTGCTCAAGTTCCGTTGGACGTTTTACTAGTGAATGACTCTAATTATATATGGAACTAAGAGAAGGTCTCCATCGTTTTGTCTAATCTATCGAGATGTATGTTAGACAATATCCGTCATATGCTTTTTAGTTCCGTCCTCTCTGTTTGATGTGATGTTAAACTATGGCGTGCTTTTGTTGCGCAGCGTGCAGGTTCATGTGGTTTGGTTATTATGTTGTTGCGCCGATTTAGCTCGGTTTTTCCATGCTTGCATGCTCCATGAATGTGTGTGACAATTTGTTCCTACTTCCTGCAGGTAGCTGATGGCGCCGCCGATGCGCAGCGGCGCTCGACCCACAGGTAGTAGTCTGAAGCTGGGAGTGCAATCTACTTCCATCTTGGAGGAGAGGTAGACGAAGTGACGCTTGCGCAGCTCAACTTCTAGTACTGTTATCTATGGGCCGACCAGTCGCTGGGAAAAGGTTTTGGATTATTAGTCTATTGTACGCGAGCTTTTTAAACTTTGCATGTTCTTGTTGTTGCCGTGGTAGCGACGGTAATAATGCCTATAGCGTCATATGGTGCAGATGTACTGCTGCGCTTGAAAAGCCTTCAATTAAAATTACGCCTCTGTCTGTCTGTCTTGCTTCTGGTGTGACATCAGGGTTCTTCTTCTGCCTTCCGGTTTCGATGTCTGCAGTAGTAAGCACATTGCTTACCGATGGTTTGGTACCAACATGGTGAGCTAACCAGTTTTGTGGAACTGCTGATGTGCCCTAGGCCCTAGCCGACGGATCGGTCAGATTGGTGGTTCGGTCGGATTCTTCGGTCGCGCTTTCCAGCCTATGGTCATCTGGCTCGTGAGATCGGGAGGTTATCTATAGTGAGGCAGTTCGTTCCCTGAAGTTCCCAATTCTGCATATAGGGCATCCACTGAACTCCTTTCAAGTCAGCCGCTATCCATGTTGTCAGATCTGCATATAGGAACATCACATGCAGTGAAATCCTGGTTGTTGAAAATCCTATAATTTCTCTCCCTACGATGTGCCACGGTGCCACCACAAAGCCATCATTGGCCCGTTGCCCTGCATCCAATGATCATGCCAGAAAAAGTCCCCTTGCCATCTCCAAGGTGAGTGAATAACAGTGGAAGCTTTGAACATCACACACACATCCTTACCACACTAACATGATCAACACCGGTCCAATGGAAGGCACGCCTAAGCTTTTCAATCTTCTGGTTTATAATCCGTTTGGGCGTGTCAATACATATGAGTCGGAAGATCGTCATTGCCGAGGTCACAAAACGGACCAGAGTTAGGCGGCCAACAGAGTTAATCCATTTAGCCTTCCACAACAAGCCAACTCGTTAATTAGTTGATTGTCAAAAAAACTCGTTAATTAGTTTATCCAACAGCTCCTGAAAAGCACCCCATTTCAGTTATCACACAACGACATACCTAAATAGGTGCTCCAATTTCCCTCAAAGAAATAAAGGTGCTCCATTCGGTCCCTTTTACTCTGCGTATTAGATTTGTGTAAGTCGTACTTTGCAGAGTTTGACCAAATTTATATTAAAAATATATCAATATATACAATACCAAATATATATACTATAAAATTAAATCTCATGATGAATCTAACAGTGTTGATTTGGCAGTGTGAATGTTGATACTTATTTCTATAAATTTGGTCAAAGTAGAAACAACTTTGAACAAACTTATACTCCCTCCGTTTCTAAATACTTGTCTTTCTAGGCATTTCAACAAGTGACTACATACGGAGCAAAATGAGTGAATCTACACTCTAAAATATGTCTACATACATCCGTATGTAGTAGTCATTTAAAATGTCTAAAAAGACAAATATTTAGAAACGGAGAGAGTATATGCAAACTAAAAAGTACCGGAGGGAGTACATGGAAAGCTCGCGGTTTGGCAGCCAAGCCCTGCCTGGATATCAGATAGATCGAAATCTTCACATCTTGAGTAATAGGCAGGATCTTACTTTTAGCCAAATTGGTCTTGTGCCAGTGTGTAACGCCCTCGATTTGGCTATATCTCTCACGTGTCGCAGCACGACTTAGAGGCATAACCGCATTGAAAGCAATGTCGCAAGTGAGGTAATCTTCGCAAACAACCCATGTAATACAATAGGGGAAAAGATACATAGTTGGCTTACAATTGCCACTTCAAACAATTACATGAATAAAGCATTACATCATCCAAATACACTCAAGGTCCGACTACGGAACCAAAATAAAAGAAGAACCCCAAATGCGACAAGGTCCCCGATCGACCCCAACTAGGCTCCACTACTGATCAACTAGAACGAATCAACACAAAGGACAAGATCTTCATCGAGCTCCTCCTGAGCTGGGTTGCGTCATCCGCACGGACTCATCGGCACCTGCAAGCTGGTTTTGGAAGTATCTGTGAGTCACAGGGACTCAGCAATCTCGCACCCTCGCGATCAAGACTATTTAAGCTTAGTAGGTAAGGCAAGGTAAAGTATGTGGAGCTGCAGCAAGCGACTAGCATATATGGTGGCTAACATACGCAAATGAGAGCGAGAAGAGA